TGGTGAAAATTTCATGTCATTAGCACCTCTAGTAATATATTTACTGAGAAAAATGGTGACGTGTTCAATACTTATTTTACCCGCTGTATGTAGTACACTAGTATTATATAAATGAGTGTAGAGGAATGTATAATTTGGTAAACTTAAAAAGACTTTATAACAGTATACTTAAAGTATACTTTTTATAAACTTTTAAAAATATGAATTTAGTCTGAAGTATTAAATCTGTATACTTTCTAGTACACTACAAGTACAGGATTGATACACAAACTTATACTCGAGTATTCTAATTAAAATGAGCTTCAAGTATTCTACTTTTTCTAAGGGTTACTTTTTAGTTTGAGTAGATTTTTACTTGTACTTGTGTAAAGTTTCAAATGAATAACAACAGTACTTTTGTGTGAGTAYGTTGTTTTAGTACTCTTTCCAAGTCTGCTAGTTGGCAACTTAAGTTAGCAAATTTAAAAATATATTTTTCTTTGTTGAAACAATACTTCTTGGAAATAAATCTTATATCAATGAAAGGTATGTTGAGAAGCCTTATATTGGACCCAATTTATGTATTTGCTCTGTTACAAAAGCAGCCATTCTTACTTTTGTTTAATATTTTAATTCAAATCTTTTAATTTTTATTTAATGAACTGAATATGCTGGGCCTTTGAGGAGATGGACAGATGCTCCACGTGATCGTCACGACTGTCGCCCTCTCTGTTTTCATATATGACCCCATATCTGGGCTGGGCAATTCTGGTCCTTAAAGCGCTGCTGTCCTGCATATTTTACTAGTTTCTCTGCTCCAACACAGCTGATTCAGTGATTAAATCACCTCTTCAAGTTCTGCAGAAGTCGATTAATCACCCATTCATTCAAATCAGGCGTGTTGGAGCAGAGAAACAAGTGAAACATGCAGGGTAAGTTTAAACAACTTTGTCCTATCCATCCATCCATCCATCCATTTTCTGTACACGCTTCTTCCTTTTCCTTTCCTAGAACTTTGTCCTATATCCTCGCATATGATTGGTCTTTTGTTTATTAATGCTTATAATTTTAGCTGAGTACCTTTGTCTAYGAGCTTTCAGGACAGCTGCAGACCAGCTGTTTTTAAAAACTGCCAGAGCACCAAAAAACACTGGTAAAGTGTAGAGAACAATTACAAAGATTAAATCGCTCTAAGTCGAGGGAAACCAATTCATGAAAAGCTCTCAGCCCAAAATATAAAGYATAAAAGGAATCCTATAAAAGTCTAGAATTTAGCATTAACCTGATCACATCTTACACTTTGGTTTAACACTTGTTCCAATCATTGCTGTAGTTACAACAATATCTGATGAATTTAGTGGGTTTTTTCGTGCCTTTGTCTTTTTTAGGCTGCAGTGGCCACGTTGGGTTCAAACCACAGCTGAACAGAAGGAGACTGTGGTCGGGTAAAGAAAGCAGCTGGCCCGTTCTGCTCTTTGCTTCCAGTTCATTCCGGACACTTGTGTGTGCGCACGCCAACTGCTGCGAAAAACACCCACTGGCAAAAAATAGACTGAGAGAAAGATGCAGAAAACCAGCGAAAGAGAAGAAACCAAGCTTTGTGTTTTTAAGGCCTTTTCAAGACATTTTTATTGTCATCGTTTTCTTTTATTTTTGTACAAAGAACTTCACAAAAAGAAATATTAAGAAACATGTAGAAACAGACGCCATGTAAGCTGAGGACATCACGAGCAGATCAGTGCCACAGACAGGAAAGTGTGAGAGAAGGAGATAATGACCAGTTTCTTGATTTTTTTTTCACGGCTTTTCGAAATCATGTAGCGTCCACCGTTTAACCCCACGAGTGAACTCAGGCAACCCAAAAGTTTTCTCCACTGACTGTGACAACTTAAAAATAAAATAAAATAAAATACTGCTTGTGATGCTTTCTACAAAGTTTTTCTTTTCTACAGTTGATTGACGGCTCATTGCAGAGAGACATAAAGTGCCACACAAAGCGTACGTCAACTGAAACTCCAGTGTCAAAAATACATTTTCTGTTCACGAGATTATCATGATCGTTTCGAATTTAAAAAAAGAAAAAAAAATTAAATAAAAAAGGTTTTACAGTGCAGATTCTTTTTGGGGGCATTTATTTCCCTGTTTTTAGGGGATAAAAGTATAAAAAAATACATATCATTCTTAAAAATTACCTGACATCTACTGAACACTTTAATGTAAAAGCTTATTTATTTATTTATTTGGATTTTTTTTTATTATTTAAAAAAACAATTATTTTACAGGAGTTAAGTGAGAGCAGGATAACGAAAACAATCTACATGAAGAGAAGTCAAAGAGCTTCTCTAAAGAGGGATGAAACCTTTAATCTTCCAACTCGTTCTCATTCCTGCAACGATTTTTCAACATTTTTAATAAATATATGAACGAGGGAAGAAAGAACTAATTCACTCTCTAAAACTGAGTGTTTTTAAATGCAGATAAAACAACATGTTCTGCACCTGAAAGTCCCAGCGGAGCTCGTTTTTCTCACATCGCCACTACGAGCTCAGAGTCCTGGAAAGTGCGTTTTTCCTTCTCCAATTTAAGTCTCTGCTTTTTCTTTGACGGTCTCTGAGGCTGGGCTCTGCTTCCCCACCATCGTGTCTCCGTCGTCGTTTTGTGTCGTTTTCTTTAGCGCCTCCTCCTCCTCCTCCTCGTCTTCGTCCTCTGGCTGGACGTCAGCCATGGTTGTCTCGGTGAGGTTCCCCTCAGCTGGAGTGGCGCAGTCTTCCTGAGCCTTCAGCACGGTGCACAGCTCCATCTCGTGGATCTCCACGTCGAACGGCGTGGCGGGGGGCACGGAAGGGGGACACTTGCAGCCTGTGCAACCCTAAAAAAACAGAGAAACGAGATTCGTTTTGTTTTTTGTTTTTTTTTCGGATTGTGGCGTGAACGTGGCGTTTGGCCCAGCGGAGCTTACAGGGATGTTGATGGCTCGCGGCAGGCGTCCCGTCCGGATCCAGGGATGAACTTGGCTCAGCTCCTTCTTCTGGTCGTCTGTGAAGCGAGGCTGGTGCTTCTGCAGGTTCCTCAGGGCCTCGCGGTCCTCCTGCAGCACTGTCTCCAGGTCCCTGTTGTTTCAACAAAGGACAGTGTTAACTGTCAGATCCAAAGTATCATGTATGGCAGGCCATTGTGCCATATAATCAAAACACACTATCAATAACATTTTATTCTTTTCAATATAGAATTATTTCAGGTTAGACTTTAAAACAGAAGTAAAAAATTTCTACTTGTAAATAGTTTCATATTAATTTATTTAACTTTACAGTTAAAATGACTGTTTTCAAATTCAATTCAATTCAATTCAAAAATACTTTATTGATCCCAGAGGGAAATTAGGTGTTGTTGTAACTCAACTTTACATCAACATTTCAGATCTTTACTTCAGGAAAAAATGATGTCACTTTCTTACTGGTGTGTTTTAGCCTCTAAGCTGCAGATTAAAACAATCTTTATATTGAACATAAACATCTGAAATGCAATCTCTACATTTCACATATTTGTAATATGGCTGTTACTTGTAATAACTTCCATTGAATGTTTTATAGTAAAATATCATTTCATCAGCTGCACAAATTATGAATGAGTCTTCTTAATCACAATTTTACATGTATTTAATTTTTTTTAAATATCTGAATTGAAAATCATGTTTTCTAAATTTTAATTGACTTGTAAATCTAGTAATTTTATTTTTATATGTTCGTTTTTGATGCATAAAAAGAGCAATAATTGAAGTATTTTCAATTATAACAGCATATAAGATAAAAGGCTTTCAGAATATTTGCTTGTTTTGACTCATATTTATTATATGATATATTGGCATGCCACAGTGCCAGTGAAGAAACTATATAAAACTTGTGTTCACACAAATCCTACGCTATATTTAGTAATTCTTCTAAAAAAGTACTTTTTATTTTAAGTAATCATAATCGACTTCTTCATGTTTTTATGTAAATCAGTTCGGTTTGTCGTACCTGACAGGAAGTTGATACGTCATCATGACCTTGTCGTCTGTGTTGGCCATCAGCAGCCAGATGGGGTCCTGCAGGACGCACTTGATGAACTGCTCCTCTCCGCCTCCACCTCCTCCTCCTCCTCCGCTGCCCCCTGCTGGCTGCTTACGGGAGTGGTCGTTCTCCGAGGAGTCTATGCTGCCGAAGTACTTGCTGGTGTGGCTGCCCTGGCTGCTGCCTGAGGAGACGACAGGTCGAACCGTTACTGGAAGGTTTAACTAAACTTACTGAAGCAAAACTTCTTAAATTCACCTGCTGAGACATTAAAGAGTCAACTCATCTAAAAAACACAGTTTCATGTGCAAATTCTTAATAATTTCACATTTAAGGTAAAAATTCTTATAGAACCTAGAAGTCGTGGTTTGTTTAATTTATTTTCAAAGTGAATAAAAAATAGAAAGTTAAGCAAGTTAACTCAATTTTAAATAGTGTCTTTTGAGAAATTTAATTTGTGTACATTTTTCAAAAAAATGTTCTTAATCAACGCTAGTTAATTACTATGAAAAATTTCTTTAAAGAGCTTTTTGGTATTTCTGCACTGTTGGGAGTCAGAAACATGAATTTAAAAAAGTCGGGACCAAAATGTGTGAATTTCTCTGGTATATTTGTATAGAAATATAATTTTACTGTACGTTCACATTTTATAACTGAGAACACGTGCCTCACCTCGTGTCTTAATAATCAGTGAGGAACAGTGGTTTCAGGAAACAAGCTGTTTACATAAGAAAAAACTGTGTTCGTGCCGCAGATATGTACCCKAACACAACAATCAAAGACACAAAAGAAACCACAAGTGTCACTTCAGGAAACATGAAACAGAAATGTTCGTCGGTGACGTAGAGAAAAAGGAAACGAGTTTGTTTCAGTTTGTCTGTGCTGGAAAGAAAAAACTGCTGAAAGGACAAAAAGAAACAAGAGTTCTGAACAAAGAACTAAAAATAAAAAAATAAAAGTCCRCCCATCCCTCATCTTTACCTGCTTCTTCTCCTTCTGTTCCGCAGTCTCTATGTTTACATCGCAAAATTCTTTAATCGGATTGAAATGTATTCAGATTAAATAATCTGAATGTCTAGTTTATATTCTGATCATGAGGAGCGTTCACCTGCACCAGGCTTTTATTCAGAACAGAGTTGTAAACTTTGTTGTAAACATGGAAACTTGTGGTCATGAAGGGAAGCATGAGGTCAAACCAGAGATCTGTTCTGACACAAAACATCAAACATCCTGATAGAAATGKAAATTTTCTTTTGTTTTCTAGTCAAACAGAGCAGATAACCCAAATAGTCAAAAAGTAAGATTACATAAAACAAACATCAAACAGTCTGCTGTAAACACCAACTGTTTGCAGCACTCAATCTTCTACAAAAGATAAATAAAGTGGTTATGAAACAGTTGGACTGACAGAGCCCAGGCCTTGAGAATAATAAAAATAAAAAACTCYCTTAAAGCATCAACAACAAAAACCATCAGGCTGTCACTTGTTTATGTAAGGTTTTATGTAACACTTTAGAAAAAATGGACATGAAAAGTGTTTTGACAGAAACTGTTCTAACGTCCATCATCCAGGAAGAAGGACRTGAAACAGTGTGACCTCGCACTCTTCCTCTCTGTGATGTCATCAAACTAAAAACCTATCTGAGGTGTGTGTTAGAAGGAAACAAACAAACAAAATTTTAAATAAAAATCTACTGACTGGTGCCRCTGGTGCCAGAGGAGCTGCAGCCGTTGGAGCCGGAGCCGGAGCCCGAGGACCTGGTGCCCGAGGACCCCGAGCCAGAGGCGGCCGAGCCGGTGCCTGAGCGGGAGTCTTCCTGCAGCAGCAGGTCCAGCAGGTCGCTGGAGGTGGACATGGCGTCCTGGTTGGACTCGATCGCTTCAGCCTGGAATAACGAAACGTTTTGGTAACTTCAAACTACACATTTATTGTTTTAAAGACCAAAGATTAACAGAGCTGTAGAGGTTTTAGTCAAATCAGTTCAAAGTGTGTGTTGTGAATGACTCTCAGTTACTACCACACCACATTTTAACTAACTTTAACTCAGGATCTGTAAATCTGACAGAATATTTGTATGTTCACCAAAAGTGAAAGGAGATATTTTGCTAACAGACAAATGCACTTTTGCCTTCCTTTGTGTTTAGGCAACAATTACAGAGAAATTTGAAATAAGAGGGAAAACAATCACTCACRTTCTCCGTTTCCTTGGAAGTATCATCAGAGCTCCTCTGATTGGCTGAGTTTTGGCCCCCAGTGGCCCCGCCCTGCGCAGAAGGCGGGGTCTGTTGTGATGTCACCAGTGCCGTGGCGACTTCTAGGCGGTTGCTTGGCGACTCCTCCAGCTGCAGCAGGTTGAGGGGCGAGGAGCAGCGGGAATGGAAGAGGGGGGACTCGGCGCCGTCGCGGTCGGCGGGCGTCTGAGTGAAGGACTGCGGCGTGCTGCTGCGRGACGGGGCGCAGGGACACGGGACGGGCACCGGGTTGGAGACGGGGGGGATGGGGGCCGGGGCGACGCCGGGGTAACTGAAGTTGGGGTTGTAGAACTGTCCGGGCGGGGCGATGGGCGCCCCCATTTGGGGGAACATGTAGTTGGGCAGAACGAGGGCCATCATGGGCGGCACCATCTGGGCCGGGGGGAAACGTGTCGGGTCGTGGACGGGGATGGGCAGGGGGAGGGGGAGGGGCTGTGCGAGCGGCGGGTAGACGGGGTAGATTGGAAGCATGCCAGGGGCGAAGGGGGCGGAGGGAATGCTGACCTGGGAGCCCACAGAGGGCCAGGAAGAGGAGTTTGTCGGTGCCCCGAGTGGTCCGCTCAGGGTCACCGGGACCGCGTTGACTCGGGGGTCCTGACGATTCACGCTCATTCCTAAAGAGCTGTGCTGGTCCGACGACTCCTGGTGCTTGATTCTCTTTCCACCGCGGCCCCGCCTGTGACCGGTGCTGCCTCCTGCTGCGGGGTAATCCCGAGAACAGCGAACCCCTGAGGACAAACCACATCACTGAATTAAAGTCTGGCTAGCTGTTAGCTACTTTTAGCATCAAGCTAATGTTTTGTTYTAATGTTTGTGTGTCTCAACATCTGTTTTCACCAGAGTAAAATAATATGGTGTCATCAGCAAACAAAATACATTTTAGAACCACTGGCACATTGACCAGATCATTCACATACAAAATAAACAGCTTTGGTCCAAGTACTGATCCYTGAGGAACTCCACAACTAATATCACATAATTCAGATCTTACATTATTTAGCTGAACAAACTGTTTCCTGTTATTCAGAYAACTAGCTACCCTCTGCGGGGCTACTCCTCTAACCGCATATTTATTCAGCTTTTCAAGGAGAATGGTGTGGTCCATAGTGTCGAAGGCCTTGTTCATGTCAACAAAAACGCTAACACAGTACTGTTTTTAATAAGCCACTGTTACCTTTCCCATTAATTCCATGAGAGCCACTGATGTGGAGTTATTCGTTCTAAACCCATACTGATTACTACTAAAGGGACAATATTATGTGTTTCTCAGGCATATATTTAAATTCTATACCATAATGAAGTAACTATGTCACCTTCAGTTGTTATTAAAATGTTGTTTATATGTTTAAATAGAAAATAAACTTGACTTCTCATCATATGTTTCTAAACACCTTGAAATTGGCCTCCGTCTCTTTAAGAATCTCCTTCTGCTTCTGTCCCGCCCATTTCAACATGGGGCTGGGTGTGTGTGCTCTGTGATGAGGAAGCTCAGCTTGGAGACACAGCCCAGAGGACAAGCTGGTCCCAAAAGGAGGTTCTAGACCCAACCGGTCGTTTTTGCTCCCCTGCCAGGCTGCCTCAGGACACTACAGGATTYCTCAAACATGCATGAATGAGTCAAAGCAAGACTCTGGGCATGTTTTTTTATGAGAGTATAACATTATAACATGATATAAAACTAAAAAAAGTTTATTTTACATGATATAGCCCCTTTWAAATATTCTGTTTGTCTATGAATCGATCTGGTTACAAGCAATTATTCTAAAATTTTTGAAAATGATGACAATGAGGATATTGGTCTGTAATTACTGAACACACATTTCTCACCATTCTTATAAAGACTTTTAGTTCTCACAAAGATTATAACTCGCGCTGCAGAAAATGCTATGTCTCTAACTCTAACTAAGCRGAGTTTGGGTGTGAGTGTGTTTGCTGCTACCTCGGGACAGAGCAGCTGGAGTGGTGTGGCAGCGCACGGTGGAAGACGCTGTTTGATCGAAGACGCGCAGCTTGCTGAGGTCCTTGAAGCGGTCGAGGAACGCCTGCTCCTCCTGCTGGGTGTGGGCCGACAGCACCTCCTTGGTCAGTCCAAACCGGCCGGATCCTCCCCCTCCTCCGCTTCTCCAGCTCTCTCTCTCCRGCTGACTGGCCTGAGGCTGAGGAGGAGGAGGTGGGGGTGGTGGTGGAGGAGGAGGAGGAAGGGTTGACGGGGTGATGCTGGCGGACAGCTCTGAAACACACGTGAGAGGCCTCAGAGTGGCGGCGGGAGGGGCTGGTGTTGTGGTCGGGGGAGGGGCCAGGGTTGGAGTAGTTGGAGCGTCTTCCATGATGATGTCTAACAGAAGACAAAGAATGACCGAGTGTTAAAAAAAACAAAACATTTAAAACTTTTATTCATTTTCTCATGGTTAACGTTCTTTTTAAATGTAACATTACAATAAAMGTACTACTATAGACACTTAGGCTTCAACAAGTACAAGTTTAGCTGACTTTATTTTGGAAAAGAGGAATTTAAAACATTGTAACAGCCTTTGAAAGCTGAAASTACACAGYGATACACAGGTCTGTGTTACTTCAGCATCATTTCTATAACATGAAACAAAAAAAACCCACTGTAATCATTAACATGTCACAAAAGCAGCAGAACAGCTTCACTAAACAACTAAAAGTTCTGTTTCTATTTTTGATTTTCTTATTAAATCCAGAGATTGGATCTAATGATGCACAGCGAGCTTGTTTGCTCTGATATTCCTCTACGTTTGCCCAAAACAAATTTCTCCTCGACACCATTTTACGTGGGCACCGTCGTCGTGTCGTGGACTTCTAAACACTCCAACAATAAAAAGACAAATCGGAGTGATTTTTATCACTCTGTTTCACATCACTTGAGAAGTAGGTAAACGTTTTTCTTTTTTAACGTTTCACTCAAACCGGTTTGACTCCTTAAGAAAATAACAACTAAATATCCAAAATAATAAATATAGAAACAAAACAAAGACATATTTCTATGTCGGTAGGAGATATTTTTTTTTGACTACTGCTGAAAAAAAAGTTTAAATTGAAACAGTAAAAATCAGCTAAAAAAAAGAGAAAAGAAAAAAGAGCTAAAATGTGATGAGATAAGTAACAGAGCTGCATGAGTGCATGAGTTTACCCACCACCTACAGTTTGATTATACACTTTTGGAAAACCATTCTTGACAATTTGGCCCCATCCACACAACTCCAGCAAAAATAAAATAAAATAAAATAAAATAAAATAAAATAAAATAAAATAAACAGGTTAGCTGAGTGGCGCTGAGAGCCATGAGTGTATTTATAAGTTTGTATATTACATCTACAATGTTTTGGATTTTAAAGATACGGTGCAGTAATGATCCTTTTTAAAATGTTTTTTAAACTATGTTTGAACATCCATTTTCTCTGGTATCTACCTGGGAGTGCTGTAGCACCGCACCCACACTACCAACAACCTTGTTTGAACMTTCATGCAAACCAGAAATGTGAAGCTTTTCAGAAACAACCAAGCAGGAGCCTGTTTTCATTTTACCCTCTAAAACTTAAAGCAATTCGGCCAATCTTATGATTCATTAAATTTTTTTTTTCGTTTTTGCCTTTATTCTGAAAGCAATCCTTCAAACTGGAAGCCTGAATYGTGCACAGAAAACGGTTTAAGTTCTCAGATATAAAAGACAGAGTTTTACTCCGGAGACCTAAAAACTAAATGGCCACAAATCACATGTTCTATGTTTAAAGAAAACCTGGCCACACCCAGGAAATGATGTCACAGTAAACAAGGAAGTAACTTTAAAACAATTTTTACCTTCCTGAACAACAACAACAACAACACCTGGCCACACCCAGGAAATGATGTCACAGTAAACAAGGAAGTAACTTTAAAACAATTTTTACCTTCCTGAACAACAACAACAACAACAAAAACAACAACAACAACAACAACATATTTTATTTGAAGGCGCCTTTTATGGCACTCAAGGACACCGTACTATTAAAATGCAATATAACAAAAGAAAAAAGAAATAAAACAGAGATTAAAAATACCAATAAAACATCATTCATAACAATTAACAAATAAAAAAATAAAATAAAATAAACGTATGAAAACAATGTAAAACATTTGTGTTTACTCGGCTGGAGAGTGGCACAAAGATCCGTCCTCTTATTGTTTAAACGGGAACAATCGATAAAATAAGTATCTTAAATTCCGTTAATCAACCACAAAATATACAGCTATCAAACYTGACTGTGTGCTGAACTGAGATGAAAACAGAAACAATATTAAAAAAAACACTTGTGGTAGAATCTTTATACAAGTTAAGAATGTTTATGTGTATTTTGTTGTTGTTAAAGTGGATGCTCTCGCCCCCTAATGGTGCAGCCTGGGTAGGACAGTGTTTTTATTAGAATTGAGTATAAAAAATCATTCAAAAGCTTCTGGAGTGGTGTAGACAGAGCCTGTAAGAAATAAAGTTCTCCTGCCCTGTTCAAACTCTTTAATAAGGTTAGAAGGTTGAAYGGAAAGAAAACAAAACAAACAAAAATCTTTTTTTCCGGCGTTGACCTGCGGAGAGTGAGAGTGTTGACGGTGCCCACCTGACTCGGGAGGCTTCTTGTCTCCTACATGGACGATGGTGCTGCTGAAGCTACACTGAGACGTAACTGAGGCTACACTCTCTGCCTTGGAGGCCATGGTCAGAGGCGGCAGAGGAGGTGGTTCACCTACGAGGTTAACTGAACCACCTGAAGAGAAATCATCACCACAGTTCACAGAAACACAGCTTTGTTAGTGATCGAAGGAAAGTGCAAACTCATGAGTCAAGCTCACATTACTTTAGAGTGCATGTGTAGATAATTACTTTTAACTGCTTCTAATAACATTTGAGAAAAACTTAATGAGTGGATAAATGTCACAGCTCGAGTACCTTTGCCGTTTCCKCTGACGTCGGGCTGTTTGTCGTCATCAGACGTGGAGGAGGCGGTGCAGGAGGAGGAGCCACACTTTCTTTTGACTGTAGTGGGAATGTTACAGCTCTCCAAATATCTGTGGAAATTAAAATATATATTGTAGAGGAGTTAAATGCTTACAAACGGGTGGGCAGTAACGTTTATCACAAACCTGATGATGCTGTCCAGGCAGTTGATCTGCTGGTAGGAGTAGCCGGTAGACGGCTCCTTCTGCACAAGAGGTGCAGGAACCAGAGCTTTAGGTGGCTGTGTCATGTCTGCTATCAGACTTCTGATTGGATCGCTGTCGAGGGCTCGGATTCCCGCTGCGCCTTGATGGAAAAACAGAACATTTAGGAACAAAAACTGAGCATCTTGTTTTCTTTGAACCAAAAGAGGCTTAGTGTTTGAAGTTTGTTTTTGTGTAACTTCTGAGCCACGAAAAAATAAATAAATCAGTCAACCGTCCTTTCATCTCACCTGTGTTGGTGGTTTTTCTAGGTGGTGGGCGGTTGCGAGACTCGATAAAAACTTGCTGGCCATTGGTCTTCACCGTGTGAACGTCTTTGCAGATTTGTTGGAACGTCATCTGGGAAAAACACGCATCTGTTAATAACTGAAGGACAAGAACGACTCTTTTCCAAAACAGCAATATTTGTCGTATAAAAAGTAAAATTGGGTCATTCAGGATAAGGTCAGCCGGTTAGCGTGGAATAATATCAGGTAAGGTTTCTTACAAATCAGGTTCATTAATCTACAGCCAGTATGAATTTGAGCCAAACATTCATAATTTTCAACATTTTAATTATTGTTAATTTTCTATTTTTTTAATTAAAATTGCTCCTAAAAAATGAAATTTTGTAACTTTTATATTTTATTGGTAAAGACCCTGTCACGCTAGATAACTTATGTCAACTTGTGAAATTTTTTATGTCTAAATTACTAATTAAAGTTATATATTTGATCAATTTAGTAAGTAAGTAAGTAAGTAAGTAAGTAAGTAAGTAAGTAAGTAAGTAAAGTTTTATTTATATAGTGCCTTTCACAGAAATAAATTCACAAGGTGCTGAACATTCAGGGAAGTGGGGGAGGGGGCAGTTAACACCTATTCAATAAGACATACAGACAAACATGGGGGAACAGGTGAAACCGGTCATGCAGCAAACACAGTTGCGCTACCTTTAACAAAAAAAACTAAAAAAAAAAACTAAAAACCACACAAGGGAAGATGAGGGAAAAAAAACATAATTTTATATCAACACTGAGACACACTATAGTGTTTATGAAAAAACCTCTGCATAGGGCAGATTTCTGTATGAGCACACCTAAAAGAGGCTTCCAGTTGATTTTTGTAATTCCACCTTCAACATAGTAACTTTAAAATGTTCCTAAGTTGGCACAAGTTGTCTAAAACAGTATAGTGTGACAGAGTCTTAACAAGTGGGGTTTTATTTCAAGACAGGTCATCTCAAGGTCATGTGATCTACAAGGTTAATTTCAAGGTTGTAGGAAAGATGAAATGTTTAACGGACCAAATCAAATCAAAACAGTAAAGGCCGATTTGTAATCCTTATATAAAATTCACTTTCCAATGACACAAAGTTTGTRAAAATTGACCAAAGAGTTCCTGAGATGGTGGGGTTGAATAGAGGCGAACACACCCATTTTTGCTGAAAACCCCAAAATCTGGTGCCTAGATTTCTAGAACCAGAAGTCCGATTAACATAAAATTTGAGATACTGTGCCGTGGGATCACAATGAACAAATAAGTTTAACAAATTCTGAGATGGCCAGGTGAACGTTTTCTATGTTTTTGTGTAGTTTGACATGGACTGACTCACAGGTTTGTGTGAAGAGACGGTGGCGACGGCGACTTTGTCCACGGCGGGGCCGTTGCTGTCACTGGAGGAGGCGGCCGAGGCACTGAGGTGCTGCTGGTGGGAGTGTCGGGAGCCCCGCGAGCCGCTGGAGCCCAGCGAGCTGTAGCCCTGAGAGCTGCCGCTGTGCACCGGCTGCACCAGGAGCCGGTGGATCCGCTCGCTCAGCTGGACGATGTCGGGAGTGGTCACCCGGCTCTCGCAGCCCATCGGTGGCGTGAAGACATCTTCATTCAGGGGGCTCCTAAAAACAAGGAGGGGCCGCTGATGAAACTTCAACTTGAAAATATTTCAGCTCTACTAGTCATTAAAATGCTAAAACTTAAAAATATACCATGTTTTTAATGAATTATGTTTGAAATTGTTGTCAATTATCCTTAAAAAGCATAAAAAATGTGAAAAATCTCCATTTTGTTCCAAACCCTGGTATCTTTTTGATGCATTCTTTTCTAAGCATTAAAGTTAGATGTAAAGTTTGTTTAGTTTTGATAGTTTTAACTGCCATATTTGGGCAAATAGATGACCTATGTTGGAATATAAACTTTTAATCGTGACGTTTTGTGATTTAAAACTAAAGACCAGGGCTTACAATTGAAAATGGGGTTTGGGCACAAAGTGTAAAGCTTGTATTTTTTTAAATACTTTATATATTAACACTTGTAATCTGTTTGATGTGCCCGAACCTTTGATTACAGCCAAAAATAAATCCAGTTTCTTTGTTTTGACCGCATATTTTATTTGACTTAAACTCAGAATATTTGTTCAATGTCAAACTCTGTTAAACTAAAAATATACAAAATATCAAGTAAAACTGTCCTATAGTAAAGTGCTGGTGCTCGTGAGTAAGAAACTGAAGCAATACATCCTTAAAATATACATTTCAAAAAATAAAAGCTTACGTTCGGACTTTGTGACGGCCAACGACGAACGCCACCTTTCTGCTCCAGGGGTTGACGAAGGACGACCAGCTGGTGTCGATGGTCAGATATTCTCCGCTGCGGGCGCACATCCGCAGTGGTGAGTAGTCAAACGGCTGCCCTGCAAACTGAAAGACTAGAAACAGACAACAAGGTGTGTTGAAATCAACCGTTTTCAGCCAGTAGCTCTGTAGGAACTGCCTTTTAATGGTAAAAGCTGCTAAAGGCAAAGTTCTTAAATTAGTCTTTCCCTTTTAGAAAACCAAAGTTTGAAATACTAATAATTAAGATCATTATAAAAAWGTCTGTCTCTGTGAAATGAAAATAAAGCCGTATCATTCCACAGTAGTGGATAAGCAGAACGGACTCACTCTTCTCATGAATAGCCACCATCGTGGGCCGGTCCTCGGGGTGGATGTAGAGCAGGATGGGGGTTCCCACCAAGTCCTGGGGCAGGTGGCCCAGCAGAGGCACTGCCCTGAGAATAACAAAAATAACAAAAACAGATTACTAAATGTCCAGAATGTGACAAATAGGTGCAAAAATCAACATTTTATCCGTTTTAACATTTATCTTATTTTGTGCAGAACGTGCCTTTCAAAATAAAACACAACTAAAGACACATTTATTTGTTCCTCTGTGAATACGGCTAAGATGAACGAACACTGATGTTATTTTTTGGTATTTTAAACACAAACAGCAGGACAAAAAAGTGTTGCTGTGAGTGAGCAGGAACAAAAACTGGGTCGCCCACCTCTCATCAACGTCCTGAAAGAGGCAGCTGGGGGTGTGACTAGTGGTGAAGATCCTCTTGTCTGGAGGGATCCGAGGAGCTGACAGGCACAGAGGAAACACAGTTTRAACCTTCAGTTAACCTGACTGAATCACATACTGGCACAGGCAGGGCTCGTTCRCATTAAACTGGTGTATTTATTTTTATTCAGAGGAACATGGTCCTTCACACCAATTCTGAGACGTTTGTCTTTTTTTATTGTCTAAACACGGATAATCTGTTAATATTTTGTAACAGAACATCTGGTGTTTACAAAAACTTTGGACCTTTGAGTGCGAGRACCAGATTTCATCACTCAGTTTAGTCTCCTACTGAAAAAAAAACAACAAAAAGTAAATATGTCTTAAAGTTACTTAACTGCTGCACTAAATTATTAGTGCTGTTACTGCCATGTAACAACAAAAATAAAAAATTAAAAGCGTTACTGCTCGTGTGGATGAAAGACAAAAGATTAACCACTTGTTGAAACGTATCAAATACCTTCGTATCCAGAGTGAACTTTCTCTGCGATGAGAAGGCAGCAGGGCTGCGGCTCAGCGGCGTCAGAGTCTCTCAGGGTGAGCTGGTAGGGCGTGAGGCGAAAAGGGTAGTAACGCATTTCGCCGCCCTGCGCCCGGTCGGCGCTGATCCGACAGAACATGGACTTCTCCTGGGTGCAGTCAACAGGAGGAGAGGCTGGAGGGGAGGGCAGAGTCAGTCACACTTCACAGTAAAACTCCACGTTTTTTTTAAWTTTTTTTTTATTTCAGACAGAATTAGGGATGGACGGTAAGTTTTCAATATTCAAAGTCTAATTAAAATGTTTTTTCATTCAGGGTTTTACCCCACATCCTGAAAAACTTAAAAGTCCCAAGTGTCTCTCTGACATGGCGTTTTATTTTGAAAGGATAATAAAGTGGAAACTATGGTCACTGGGGAGCAGGATGAAACAATCAAAGAAAAGTCTGATTAGTGACAAATTGAAAAAGCAGCTGACCTGAGCCGATGCAGGAGGCCCAGGAGGGCAGGCGGCAGGGGGCTGTGCCGCTGTAGAAGGTGCTGACGTCCTGCGGAGCCAGAAGCTCGGAGAACATTATCCCCTGGAGACACTCGGGCTTACAGCGCAGCAGAGACGAGCACTGGGGCGAGACGTACACCACCTTCCCCGACAAGAACGACACGGCCATGGAGAACGTGTCCTGAAGAACAAGACAAGACAAGCTTTGACTTTCCAACGCTCTCTCTACTTGAATCCTGTCATCTGGTGGCTTTAAACGTTATATATATATATAT